ACATGAAGAAAGTGTTGTCCTTAGTCATGGTTGGTCTCAAATAGTCACAAAAAAGATATAAAGGCTTTTACTAGTCAGTGAGTCAGTGGTGGATTCATATCCTGTCTGATGCCAGTTCACAAATGATTGGCGCCCTGATATCAGCTTGAGGGGGCGATCATGATTACAACTATATTTAAGTGATAACCATATTCCACATCTCTGAAATATAATAAGACACATGTGCGTCTCATTTCCTAGAACACAGGAAAAAGGAAGTCCGGGACGGGAAGATAGCCTGATGGCCTTTCACTTTAAATCTTTGATCCGAAAGCTAAAAGTCAAATGTTAAATTGATGTGAGCAGATCCAAAAATAATATGTGTTTCTCATTTTCTTTTCACATGTGTATTTATCTCAAAGATTGCTTGATAACCAAATTCCAAACCAAAAATAAAATCTAGGACTGAGGAGGAAAAATGTAATCTGTTCCATGTTTAATCCAGTGCTTCCATGACTATCCAATGTCTTTCACCAGGATTTGATTTCAAATGTACTGGGTAAACAGGAAATATGTATCCTATCCCCTCAGGAGGAGATTATCACTCGTATTGTGCAATGCATTATTCCACCTACACACCCTTAGCATGTAGCACTGGCATCTACCCACTTGTGGAATCTAGCAAAATTGGTTCATGTAAATGAAAATCGTATAATCTGCTAAAATCCCACTCACTTTCCTATTTACTACTTGGAAATATTCCTGTCCTTTTTTACTCTTCCACTATATTGCCAAATCCTTCCGCTTTTCTATTATTGTTCACCCGGTGTGAATTGAACCAACACTCCCGAAACGAGTATGAAGTTGTGTTAGTTCAGGGGAGTCTCCCTCTTTTCCTGTGGAAATGGGATCATTTAGTATGAGGAGAGATAAGCTGAGTGTACGGTGTGAGTGATGGCTTTTTTGTGTATGGTCTGACGGCACTGAGCGCTCCATTCCTGACAGCGCCCCTGGACTCACGGAGAGGCGGGGTCACAGGTCGCACTCTGCTATTCTTTTCATTTATCCTCCTGTCCGTCTGTGTTGTCTTTCTCTCTCGCTCAGATAACGTCTGACTACAACATCTGTAATGACATTTCTTTCTGCTTGTGCCAGCAGATAGGCCGCACTCTCACTACCTCTCCCACTCTGACTGATGCCCTTTAGAGCTCTGATGGACTGATATGATGTTCATGATATCACCACAGAGCCTCTATCTGCCTTGTCAATCTCTTCCTCCTCCTTAGCCTATCTTCATCACTTATCTTCTCTTTCATGCCTCCTCTCTCTAGTCTACATCATCTCTATAATTTCCAGGAAGTGCACACAGAACAAATAGTCATACAAAATGTATCTTCAGTCTGAGAGGAAAATGGTTTCTGCGATGACCGAGGATTAATTTCTTCATAAATAATAATAAAGTGAAGTGGAATTTGCAATTTCTCTCAGGCCCATGAATCAGGAGGAGGATGAACTTTGACATCATTCACACATAACCTTTGCCAACTAATTAAAAAGGATAAAAAGGGAGGGTGATGACAACATAATAGGATTTCATAAATTCATGCGGTTTTGAGAGGTTGCTGGCCTCACACCACTGTGAGTATTCCACCCTGTTATGGGTAGCGGAAACATCATCTATTTTCAATGATATTCCTCTCTTGAGCAGCAGGAACATAATGGAATAATTGAACGCTTTGGGAAACTAGCTTAAAACGAATATATGGCAGTGAAGCTACCACCAGCAGTTGGTTAGCTTTGCATATAAACTTAAAACAGGAAGAATACGCTGGACTGGCTCTGCACGACGTCTGTGTGTGACGCTTCAACTTATATATGTATCAGTGACTTCATTCGTGAGGAGATATGTCCAGTTTCCAGCCCTGATTTCACCAGAGCGGTGGGCCTTTGAGGGAATCTGCCAAATAAAATATACACACAGCTCACAATGACACACACACACACACACACACACACACACACACACACACACACACACACACACACACACACACACCACACACACACACACACACACACACAACACACACACACACACACACACACACACACACACACACACCACACAACACACACACACACACACACACACCACACACACACACACACACACACACACACACACACACACACACACACACACACACACACACACACACACACACACACACACACACACACACACACACACAATACCCTTTTGGCTCTAAATATGGGCTACGAATGGGAAAACACAACCACATGCCTTCAGATTTAAACTGATGTATCATATCACCTGTTTATTAGTGAGTGCCTGTCAGTTTTGAGCTTGATTTGTAGTCTTTTGGTTGAATAATGTGTTCTTATGCACAGCATGCCAACCTCATTCTTTCTCCAATGCTGATGCCCACTGGTCTGTATCAAATCACCCGCTCCTTCTCCTCATCTTTGCTTCCCTTTTCCGTCTCCCCTCTCTCTTTATTCACACAGGAATGTGTGATATGTGGATCAGCAGACAGGGTGTATAATATTCCCGCTGAGCTCCAGAGAGAAGGCCGGACGAGGGAGAGGTGGTGAAAAACAACCCCGCTGCCACCTCCACTCAAGCATCCTTCATCACCTCTCTCACTCCCTCAGCGATCCAACAACCATCACACACTCCACCTACTTTAATGGTCTTCCAGCTAAATAATCCACATACGGTATATCTGGCAGGGAATGTGATAACATTTGTATTAAGAAATGTTGCGTGTGATTTTTTGTTTTCCTGCACACATTTTATCCTCTAAATCTTTTTCATATTGTGAAACTGTGTTTAGATTTATAGGAAAATAACTCAAGACAGATTTTGAGGAAAAGAGGGATTTAGAGTGAAATAGAGGAGAATGTCAAGGAGGAGTGTGTGAGTATTGCATAAAGGTCTGTCGTTCGGGTTACTGATGAACACAACAGAAACCGAGTCGTTGAACCTTTTAGGATCTAATGGACTGAAGCAGGAGGGGAGCAGAAACGTTCTCTACTTCGCGAGTGCAAGTAGATCTACCATGCAGGCCTTGCAGTCCCAAAGCAAGAGAGAGAAAGCGTGAAAGGAGGGGGATGAAAGAGGAAGAATGAAAAAATAACTGCAGAGTTTGGCAGCAGTGCAGATAAAGAAGGGAAAGGGCAAAGAGGTGCAAAGGAGTAAATGAGACAAGGAACCAAAAAGTGGAGTGTACAGCTGAACAGCACAGCATGTGTTTCTAATAAATTATCCCTCACCTCTAAAACACACCTCACATATTTTACCCGTACATGGACCAAAAGAGATGGTGTGTGATATGTTTCTGCATATCAAGTGAGAGCAGGAGTTAAAGAAAGGTTCTACATTTTCTTCTCTTGTGAGATGCAAATATTTTTTTACAGTCTTTACTTCCTTTTTATTTAGCCCATGCCAAAATCACACATTTTGTGAAAATTCTCTTTCTTTTCACTATTAATTCTTAAAAAGTACAACAATGCAATTTTCTTTTCTTTTCACTATTAATTCTTAAAAAGGCTCCTCTAAATGTACACAATTTAAAAGGTAGACAGAAGAGGCAAATGTTATCCCTTTAAGCCTTTAGCTATGACCTTTGACCCAAATGAGGTGAAAGGTCACACAGATAAAGAGGTAAACGGAAAGCAGGGTACATTTGTGTAATGAATGGCCGAGCAAACAAAAACAAGCCTTGAGAGTGAGCTGACCGAGACTCATCCAAAACTGTTATTTTATCTCGGAGACTCCCCCTTATCTTGACCATAAACCAGAGAAATGATTTAGACGTAATAACTCATGAATCATGGCCCTGAGGTCTACTCTCAAACTGATAAGCATTTAAATAAACCAAACTCAAGAGTGCAGCTTTAAGGCATTCCACCATCTCCATCGACCCAGGAAACCACAAACCGCTAAATTTGGCTCATTGGAGAAAGAGACACGCACCCCCACAACCTCAACCAGCCATCATCTGACTCTCCTGACTTCAGTAAATGCAGAAAACATGCAGGTGGAAGATGGAGGGATCTTCAACTGACTTAGCAGATGGCATTAGAAGTCTGTTTTTTCTTAAAGGCCTAAAATGATAGCCGTGTGCAAGATGACTGTAGAACAGTTCAGAAAAACTGGGCTCTGAATGATTTCACAGAAAGCCTCTGGTAGTGTGATACTGTTCACCAATGACAAGGTCAGGAAAGGGGCAGGACTCTTTCACCACAATACTTAACACATGAAAATACACCAGAGGTTTATTAGATTAGTGTTACAGTAACTACAGGTCTCTGTTTCGTTTCTGCATTTATGAAGCAAGTGGGTTCAGAGGATTATCATATGAAGAGTTATATGTACTATTGTGCAGTTGTGAAAGTACTTAAAAAAATTAAATAACCCATTACAAGTTAGCGTTCTGCATTCAACATCTTAGTAGAGAAGTAGGAACAGAAAAGGTACTTAGTACAATATATGCAAACATGAAAAGCACTGATAAGGTCTGCTGACCAGCTGCTGCTGATAGTGCCCAAGACCAGGCTCAAAACCCGAGGGCACCGAGCCTTCGCAGCAGCTGGCCCCAGGCTCTGGAACACTCTGCCCCTCCATGTGAGGTCGGCCCAGACACTAGGGTTTTTTTTAAATCCTCACTAAAGACTCACTTCTTCTCCCTGGCCTTCTAGTCAGAGCGGAGTATGACACCTGACTATTCCCTGTGTTTTTGTTTTTTATATTTCTGTTGTAAATTATTGTCTTTTATTGTGATTGTAGTTATGTGTTTTTATTACATGTACAGCACTTTGGCTCGACCAAAAATCGCTTTTAAATGTGCTATATAAATAAAACTTGATTTGATTTGATCTCACATAGCTTTTTATTGTTTTACACTACACAGCAGCCACAACACCCATAGTCTACTCGTAAAAACAAAGCTGCAAGCTACCTTTACTACTAAGAAGCGAGTTTGTTGATGACTCACCTGTCTGAAGTTCTCCACAATCTGCTCCAGATTCCCCTTCACTGCTTGTTCCTTCATAAGTAAAACAATTGAAGAGCTGTGATAAAATAACCTTGTGCAATATTTATATACATCTTTTGTTCTTATCTGCTGCTGAAAACATCTTAGTGACATGGCAGTCGTCGATTGCGTCCGCCCTGCGAACCCTAGCCCTAATGGACAATCCAATGTACAGTGGACAGAAGCATCCCCAACACTCTGAAGACCACCCCAAATTAAGCCCCACCCACCATCAGAGGACACCAGGGTTCTAATTGTGGCAGCCCATGCAGGTCCAGCAGCAGCACCACCTGGGACTCCCTACTCAGCCTGAATGTGTATATAGTTTAAAGGTTGTTTTATTTGTATGTTGTTTTATTTGTATGTTGTTCCATAAAATAAATCATAAGTTTCATATTGCTCATTACTTATTTTATTTATTTATCTGCTAATTTTTCTAGGAGAGAAACAAGCCTATTAAGGTTCTCCCTGCTCTTCTGGGCTCTCCTCTCCTCTGCCTCCCTCTGCAGCTTCATGTCCTCTCTGATGAGGTCCATTAGCCTATCTTTTCTTTTTCTTTTAGGCCGTGATGGCCCTGCCTCAACCTGATCCTCGTCCTCCTGGTCCACTGCTGAACTTGGCCGTGGCGTGTCCTCTGGGATAGAGGATATTAGGACAGGCGGGCAGATGGAGGGCCTTTGTCCTAATATCTCATCCATTTGGATAAACCATGGCCAAGTTGCAGCAGTGGGTTTCCCACCGACTCCCTCTCCTGACCCTGGGTATTTGCAATCCTAAAGGCAGAGTAAAACAATCATGGCAGTACAAAAAAAAACACCAGCAGATAAACAAATGTCAACAAATGTGTTTATTAACTTGTAAAACTCACATCTTTTTTTAAGATTGTCCCACTTCTTCTTAGCTTGCAGCGGAGTTACACTTCCCTGCAGGCCCATATCTTCCAAAACCGTCCTAATCACAGGGAGAATAGTAACAAATCTAGTATTATGAATAAAACAATAACAATGTCACAAGGATGCACACACTTAGGAAGACATCCTTTTTTTTTTGGAATGCTAGCATGATGAGACATCCCTACACAAATACAACAAAGAAAATAAGGTATTGCCCAATATACTAGTTGTCTTATTTGAATGGACTGTATGAAATGAGGGATGATTAAAAAAATAAGAACGATACAAACTGGATATTGTGCCTTACCTCCAAGCAATGTTTGCGGAGAATGTGGCCCCGGTGAAGAGGGATTCATTCTCCCCACGCATTTGTATAAATTGAGCAGTCTGCTCCTTGCTCCCTATCAAAACAAATTGTTGCAGTAAGATTTGTATAACAAAAGCAGTTAAATAAATAAATTCGCTTTATAATGAATCCCAACAATATGAAAACCAAACAGGGTTTACAACCTGTCGTAATATTTTCGCTTCATATTATTTTATGTATGTAATATAAAGAAGACATCTCCAATCGCCTGTATCTTTAAATAAAAAAGTTAATTCGGTTTACTGTTTTATGTCGTTTACTATGTGGGTGAGTTGAAACGGTTGAAACCCTATACTTACATTTAAAAACAAACCCAGCTCCTGCCGAAGCTTCAGCCGTTGCCGGTCATGGATGTATAATAAGAACGTTGCCGGTACGTTAGAAGCCATTTTCTTTTTTTTTAAAAAACGAATTCGTCACCGTCGCCCATTGCATCCTGGGATTTGGTAAACCGTGGAGGATACATCAGATCCTCCAAATCCGGGAAAAGAAGGCTGCATTCGTGGGCCGCATTCGGAGGAGTCTTGTATTTTTTTAAAATTGGGACAGCCTTCGTTCGGCGGAAGTGACGGATGCGGTCTACGAATGCATCCTCAGGAGGATGCGGCCGCTGATGGGTGTTTTTTTTCAAATGAAGTTAAACAAAACAACAACTTGATCTTCAACAGGAATTCTGCTCTATCAAAAACAATCCATGATGACAGATGCACTGCTCTTGGCATTTGCTTCTTTTATCCAAGCGTGCTTATGAACTTTTCTTGAACACTAAAGGGACAAATATGTCTTTTAACCAAACTGGAAAATTCTCTAACCATATCATCAACTGTGCATGGATTGATGCTTTTGCGTGTTAACTTTGTTCAGATTTTTCACAGTCATAACCTTAACCGAGGCTCTTCCAGAAAACTACACAAAACATGGCACCTCTCCTGAGTATACTGGCCTACTTTAGGTCCCAACTGTAAGCCTCGTGTTCACAAGACGACTACTAATGTTGCAGATCCAGGTTCATTCCAGGGTATTATGGCGCGTTTCCACTGCAGGCCTCATTAGGCCCGGCTCACTTTAATGCTGCGCTTCCATTACAGTTTAGGAACTGGGGCAGTTACTATAGTAACGCAGTGTAGGCGGAGCCGTGACATCATCTTCAATGAGAGCCCCAGAAAAACAACACAGCCGTTAGCTGTTAGCACTCAGAGCTCACAGCTCTTCATATCTGTTCAGAAACTAGATAAAAGTTAAACAAGTACAAACCACAGACTGCCTGTGTCATGGCGAATACAGTCGCTGGTTTATTTATGTCTGTATAGGCCGTTGTTGTGAGTGTGGACGGTCGGAGCATATATAACGTTAACTTAGCCAAGCTACATTTAGAAAACACGCATTTTAAAAGGGTTTTTCGCCTGCCGTCTGTCTGCAGACTTGTCAAAGCATTAATTCATGGTTTTTACTAACCGGTATCAGTATGTTGTTACTTCGGCATCATTTTGAAACGTGTATTAGAATTAAATCACGGTCAAATATGTTCATCTTGTTGTAGTTGTAGCCCCCTTGCCAGCGATTCTCTCTCTAGTTTAGCATACTCAGACTGGTTGTTCCTGGCCCTAGAACCACGATTTAGTCGGGCCAGAAAAAATGTGAAAAAGTAGCCCCGGGCCAAAACTAGGCCAAGTGGAAACGCAACCAAAAACGGGCCCCGCACGGCTCGGCACGCTTAAAGTGAGCTACCCGCTGCAGTGGAAACGCGCCATTAGTTTGCCTGTCTGGTCGTCATTAGGATGCACTCGATATGGCCCATACTTTTCATTATACTGTTTAGACAAAACTAGAGTGGCTTTAAGTAAATTGGGAATATCTGACATCTGTATGACTGTGTATGTTGGATAGCGACCAGAAACCCTTCCCTGCCTCCTGACCTAGTCCGCTCTCAGAGGAACCCATCTTCTCTTCATCATTAACAACAGCAGACACTTCCCCGAAACTGGAGAACCGCATTTCTTTCTTTCCCTCTTACTCTCCCATCTCATCTATTCTTTCTCTACCTCGGTTTAACTACGTGAGAGGGCACCTGAATTAAGCTTCAGTGTTTGGAAAGCATGTTTGTGCCAGTTCTAATTCAACACTGAGCGAGCATAGCACTCTCCAAGAGGGATCAGTGAAAAGAGAGAAAATTACAGTGAAAACTTTACATAATACAAAAAGACGTACAGTAAGTGAAGCCAGAGAAACACAGAGGGGTGAACACAAACATGGTTTTCCCAGGCTCTGAGTTCCAGAAGAAATAACCTTCTGGTCTCTCATCCACACAGGCATGCACACTGTACTTTACATACACAGAAACAAACACATAGCTCTAAATGAGCTATGAAGTTATGTTTAATGCTGTAAAATCAATTTGAGTGCATTATGTTCTGCTGAGGGTCGCTGTGCAAATGCCTCCTTATATGGAGCATGTTTGGTCGCTGGGGTAGTGAACTCATGGGGTCTGGAAACAGGGAATAGTCTTAGCCTCAGAGATTTGGTGTCCCACAGAGTGGTTGATGAGAAATGTTTCTGTGTGTTTACCGAAGTATTCTTATCAACAGGAACCATCAAGCACTAATTACAAGAACGCACTGATGCTTCATTTGGAAACTTACAATTTCAAAAAAGCAGACTTACACAACAGACTCACACAGTTAGAGGAATGTGCACTGACAGCTCCTCCTACTATTATAATAAGGCCATAAACAGAAAGATTACCAGACCCAATTAAGAGTAAACCTCAGTCTCTGTCCGCACATTCTCAAGCTGCTCTGTGGCAACCCGCTATTCAGGCAGGAAACACTTAGTGTATGAACACTTACAGCAAAGTGGTTTCATGTGTCAGTCATTGATGGGCACACAAATGAAGACGTAATTATAAAACACTATCTGCAGTGTGAAAAACAATGTATCACAAATATACAAGATCAAACAATTCTGTCAGATTGAGGTTTGACAACTAGTATTATCAATCACTTATGTCATGTTTGGTTCATTGTGTAGATCAGTACATTATGTGTGTATTTGAGGCACTGTAATCATAAGTTTCCCTAGACAAATACTGTCTCCACTTGTGAATTCATCTCATCTTAATGTTTTGTTTGGCAAGTGATAATCCCGATGTTTGCTGAGTATTAGGTAGTAACCCTGGAATTAAAACGTATATGCGCCCATGTGTATCAGCAAGGGTTTTTGTTTACATTTGGCGTTTTACATCTAGTAAGCTTGTAGGTCAGATGGTGGACGTCTCAACTGGGAACATTTCGACGCAGCAAAAGGCGTGTATGTTTTCAAGATGAGTGCCTTTGAATGTTGGTAGTTATTTACAGAGTGAAGGGGGCTTTGAGTCTTGATTGCTTAGTTGTTTTATCTAACTCTTATGTTTGCACCTGCGTTCTCATTTATGGTGTTTTATTGTGATGTTTGTTTTTTGAAAAAAAAAGACAATTTTCTCCTAGAAAATAAAGTAACCGTAAAACCATAAACACTTAAAAGCTTACCGGACTCCGTAAATGGAAAAAGAATAAAGACTTCTCTTTAACAACACATGTGGGCAGCAGCTTCCTTAATCCATTAATTAATTGTAAACTGTGCAGGCACGCGAGTCTTTGAAACAAAATGTTGAACGGGAAGTAAAGAAAAAAGGAAGACTTTTGAGCACATTTTACACACACACACAGAGACAGCTTTACAAAAAAATTCAAAAGAATTTTGCACAGATCGTTTGATTTTGTTATGGTGGCTTTAGTAAAAAGGCAATGATACTGAGATGTGTTAAAAATGAGACTCAACAGGCTCGCTGCAGATCATTCATATTTCACACCCACAGTCATGCTGTATAAATGGTGCTTCTGTAAATCCTAAATATAAAGAAATGTAAAGACATAAATAAACTCACTCTCCTGGGAACCTGGCCTACCTGTAGCCTCTCAGAGTCAGTGGTATATTTGTTGCTCCAAGTCTCTGTCTCTTCATCTGTTTCTCTCTCTTTAGCTATAAGAGACATGGGAGCTCTGCATATAGAAACTGTGTGAATGAAGGATTGTGGGTTTGTGACCCCAGCTGCTGCCAGCAAGGAGAGAAACAGGACGTCACCCAGCTGGACCCGAGCCATAACCTGGACACACACTCTGAATCTTTCCCCTGTCAGAGTCAGCAAATCTCTGGAACTGGATACATACTGTCACGATCACAGGTACAGATCAGAACCCAATAGCACGACTCAGATACAACCAGTGTATAGCAATGTTCAGTTTATTCAGGTCAGGGACAGGCAGGGTCAAAACCAGTAAATCCGTCAGACAGGCAACCAAAACCAGACAGGGAGCAGGCAGGAACTCGAGATCCGTAAACAGGCAGGCAGGGATCAAAAACCGGGCAGGACAAAAACCTAGGCTAGAATACAACACTCACTGGAGAGCTTGGCGGAAACGACAAGACAATCTGGCAAAGGACAAGTGATAGTGAGGTGGTATAAATACTGTGGAGTGATGAGGGAATGAGTAACAGGTGAGAGGAAGGGCTGGGGAGACCAGGTGAGGGAAGTGAGCTGATTACAAGGGCCTGGAGGAAGGCGGGATCTGAAATGACAGGAGAGTTTAGTTGAGCCACCAAACAAACAATAATAGAAGTGTCTAACTTGTGACACATACAACCTGTACTTACCCAAATGCAGATACTGCCATGACTTCAGGGTCAACATAATTTTGTCCACTATTTATCCAGAACCACACTTTAATTGTATTTACATTTTTGACCAGGTAGATCAGGGGTGTCAAACTAAATTTCATCGCGGGCCACATTAACATTATGGTTGCATTCAAAGGGCTAGTTGTAACTTTAAGACTATATAAAAATACATATATAAATATTTAATATAAAATAACGTATTATATTACATTATTGCCTCTGCATTGGATTATTTTCGGATAGGGTAATAACTTTATAATTAACTACGTCTGAAAGAAGAAGTCTAGGGCAAATAATTGCAAGTCTTTGCAGTGAGAATGTCACAAAATGATTTAAAAAGAAAAGCCAAAAAGTGACATTTTGAAAAAAAAGTTACATTTTGAAAAAAAGTAAAATTCTGAGAAAAAGGCGAATACTAAGAAAAAAGGCATGTTTTTGAAGAAAAAAAGTCAAATTTGAGATGCATTGTGGGACATGTAGTTTATGGGCAACGTGCTGTAAATCGGCATGTAACCTTATAATAAACATATTATATTCTTTCTGTTACTGGCCTCAGGCCTAGGGGTACCTGGGCCAGCAGCAGACTCTACCTCTGTATATGACAAACACACGAGGCAGAAATGTTAGCTGTTTGTAGCTCAACTGCAGGGTTTAATCTTCTTATTTGGAAACAATCCACAACAAAAGCATTTATCTATGTTCAGAAGTACCCGTATATTCGCTCACAGAGCATGCGCCCCTTAAGCCCCGCCCCCCGAGCTCCCACTCTCAGATGCGCGTTACTTCATAATGCAAGGACAATAACTCTCAGAAT